GTCCTCAGCTTCCTGTCTACATCAGACCTGGGTCCCTCCCCTTCAAGCCCTCCTCCTGTCCCTATTCCTAGTTCTGTGTGGTAGAGCCTGTGGATGCTCTGACAGGACATTGGTGGCTGTGGGCAAAGAGACCTGGTCTGGTGTCCCTAGGTGCCTACAGAGGCCTTTGGGGCAAGCCTTCTCATGTCTCTGCAGCACATGGAGTTCCGGAAGCAACAGGACTTGGACAACATCCTTTCATGGCAGCCCTCAGAGGTGAGCCCCATGCAGCATCTCCTAGGCCATCTGACGTCCCTCTGTCCACCAACTCACAACCACCTGAGGGAGCAGGGACATGGTCTAGTGGGCCAGTTTGAGTCAGGGCCTTACCCATGTGTCCAGGTGGTCCAGCGGTATGACTCGGGCGGTCTGTGTGGCTACGACTATGAAGGCTGTCCTGTGTGGTTTGAAATCATTGGGACCCTCGACCCCAAGGGTCTTCTCCTGTCAGCCTCCAAGCAGGAGCTGATCCGGAAACGCATCAAGGCCTTTGAGTTGCTTCTGCAGGAGTGTGAGCTGCAGAGTCAAAAGGTGAGCAACTGGGGAGTGGGGGTGGGGCACATGAGGACCTAGTCTGACCAGTTTGGGGCCCCAGGTCCAGGGAAGGATGACACCCTGTCCCCCTACCCCTCATACTTAGAGGTCTGGTGAAACATGAGCTCTTCCTGCTGTCCCCCTCCGTGAGTATCCAAGGTGTACATCACACTTAACTTGCATCAGTCTAGGGTCACCAAAACCTCTACATGAGATGCTGATCTGGGCTGCAGATAAAGATCTAGCTCTGTTCTTCTGGGAATTCTGAGAACAGTAGATACTCAGCTTTGCTTATGGAAAAGATATCCCACCATTACAAATTTTATAACAACAAACACCAGTGGGTGAGCGTCCCTGATAACAGTGACCCTGAAACTAGGTGCATCCCCTGAGGAACCCTTGAAGCTACTTGGGAGTTGCTGAAACACAAATATTGAGCTTTATGGGGCATGAAGCTTCTGATTCCAGAAGGCTTCCACATCCTCCTTTGCAGATCTCTTTTCCTTGCCTTGAGCTGCTCTTTGACCCTCTGTATCCTTTAGGATGAATCTAATGCCACATGTGGCCTTGTTGGTTTTGTGAGTTTACAATAAGTAATGAGGCTAAGAAGTCTCCTCTGGTGGAGCTGATATGTCACTGTGGCCTGATTTGGCAAATGACTGACTCCACATGACAAGAGCAAGTCCTGTGTTGTCATCATCACCTGGCACAAACGCTGGATACAAAATAGACCCCAGCAAGGACTTTGTGGCAAGGATAATCAAATTATGAAGTGTTGTAGTTAGTGCCTGGTTTGAATAGATGTATGTCTCTCAGTCAGGAGGGCTGTGCTGCTTTTATGGTGTCAACCCAATGTCTTCCGTTCCATAGAGGCTCCCAATTGAAGTCGATAATTATGATGATGATGATACTAATATAATACCTGATAATATTTATCAGGGACCAGCAAATGCCAGCCTCTGAGTTCTTTGTGCATCATTTTACTGAATTTTCATAGAAATTCTAGCAGAACCTAGAATTATCTCCATTTCACAAAGAAAGAGAGCTAGTGGTTAAAAATCAGAGTACTTAAAAATCAGAGTGGTTGAAAATCCACCCAGAGGCTGTGGCTCAGTGGTAGAGCGCTCGTGTAACACGTGCGAGGTGCTGGTTTTGATCCTCAGCACCACATAAAAATAAAGGTATTGGGGCTGGAGATGTAGCTCAGTTGGTATGGTAGAGTGCTTGCCTCCCATGCAAAAGGCCCTGGGTTCAATCCCCAGCACACAAATTAATTAATAATTAATTAAAGGTATTGTGTCCCACTGCAACTAAAAAAAATTCACCCAGGGCCACACAGCCTGCCAAAAGCATAGCTCTGGATTGAATACAGTCATGTAACTACAGATGTTTGTAAAATGCCAAGGATGTGGGCTGCAGGGAGGTCCGGAGAAGTGACTGAATCTCTGTGGCCAGGCTCTCCAGGAGCTATGGTCTGACCAGTAGAACTGCTCTGATCTATGCAGCTGGGTAGGAAGATTGAGATGGTGCTGCTGGTGTTTGACATGGAGGGACTGGGCCTGAAACACCTGTGGAAGCCAGCAGTGGAGGTCTACCAGCAGGTAAGTCAGGTGCTGCCAGAGGCTGGAGTGGCGGTGGCTCCCAGGCTAATAGGGAGCTGCAGTCCACACTAGCTTCTGGTCTGTGGGAAAGTGGAGATGCCTTCCAGGGGCGCCACAGACCAGCCAGCCACGCTCACCTGGAGTCCACCCTCCAAGGGGAGACAGGAGCTAGAATAACACAGAGGAGGGAACACACACTCCTGGGGAAGTCAGGAGGGGCCAGGGGTGAGCTTCTTGTCTCAGCAGTGACAGAGGCCACAGAAATGGAGAGGTAAGGCCGTGACCCGCCTCATCTTGACTTCACAGTTTTTTGCCATGGTGGAAGCAAATTATCCTGAGACAATGAAGAATTTAATTGTTGTTCGAGGTGAGCCCATGACTGGGATGGGTTCTGGGGAGGGAGAAGTGAGGAACGGGGTAGGAGGGACAGTAGGTCAGCCTTTGAGTTTAGGGCTTCTCAAACCATCCTTTGTGAAGAACTGGTTCTTTTGTTTGTTTGGGTTCTGAGTTCCAGGCCTTTCAGTAGGGCAGAATACTTTTGTGACATGCAGAATCCTACACTGGTATATTGCAGCAATGTCAAATAAGTTCTAAGTTTCTCCGTGTTTGCTGTTATTTTCCTTACTTACTTCAGACTGGATTGGTAACAGTCCATGGACCATGCTAACTAACGAACACTCTTTGAGCAGGAATGATCCCTGTGTTCAAGGGTCTGCAGGGAGGGGGTCGCCACAGGTGCCTGCAATCAGATGATCTGGGTTGAATCCAACTAGTTCTGTGACTTTGAGTTAAGTCTGTTTCACACCATTGAGACTCAGTTTTCTCATTCTGTGGGATGAGGAGGCAATGAAAGAAAGCTGGTATGAGACACTCTATGGAGAAGACAGCACAGAGCCCAATTCACAGAAAGCACTCAGTGAGAGGGACCAAGTTGGGATGAGACAGGAAGTCTAAAGCAGATGCCCTATCTACTTGTACTAAAGAGGATCCCAAAGCCACCTGAAAAAAAATCACAAGTACACAGAGGCACCACTGGGGTCAATTTTGACACTGGACCCAACACCTTACAACTGGGTTAGGGGATACAGCTATTTACTGAGAGGCAGCTACTGTGCCAAGTGTTACCCATAACATGATTTCACAGCACTAAGACTCAGAGAAGGTGAGTTATTAGCTGAAGGTCACATAGCAGGGAGTGGCAGAATCCAGATCTGTCCAAATCTTGTCTAGCACATGCCCCTGGGCATGGCTTTAAATACCAGTGTCTTCTCTGGTCCAGCTTCTTGAGGGAGTTTTACGTGTTTCAGCCCCCAGACTTTTCCCAGTGGCCTTCAACTTGGTTAAATCGTTCATGAGTGAGGAGACACGCAAGAAGATAGTGATTTTGGGAGGTGAGTGACTTGGTCTCCTGGAGAGACTCTCTTTGCATCTGCAGAGGTCAATGCTGAAGGCCCCATTTCTGCCTGGCTCATCGTGACTCAGTCACTGACCCTGGGTGACCCAGTCAGCTTCTGTATACAAAAGCAAGGCCTTGACTCCTAGATCAATGGCCTGGAAACCACATAAGCTCTTGGATACTCTTAGGAGTAGATGCCCAGGTACAGCCGGGGACATACTATGTCTCCTTCCTGGGCTCTCTTTTGATCTCCTTGAGCCCCTTGGAGGCCCGCTCTTGTTCCCACACAGACAACTGGAAGCAAGAGCTGTCAAAGTTCATCAGCCCCGACCAGCTGCCTGTGGAGTTTGGGGGGACTCTAACTGATCCAGATGGCAACCCCAAGTGCATAACTAAGGTATGGAGTGCCCAGAGGATGGAGACAGAGGGGAGACCACCGTGGCCTAGTGTCTACTCACCCACCCTCACCCACCCTCACCCACAGATCAACTACGGGGGTGAGGTGCCCAAGAGCTACCACCTGTGCAAGCAGGTGAGGATGCAGTATGAGCACACAGTGACCGTGGGCCGTGGCTCCTCCCAGCACGTGGAGAATGAGATCCTGTTCCCAGGCTGTGTGCTCAGGTAGGGACAGCGACCGCTCCACACCTGGGTGCAACTGGAAGAGGCTCCAGGGCCCAGGCAGGAGGTCATCAGTGGGGCTCCGTCTGTTGCAGGTGGCAATTTGCATCAGATGGTGGAGACATTGGCTTTGGGATTTTCCTGAAGACCAAGATAGGGGAGCGGCAGAGCGCTGGGGAGATGACAGAGGTGCTGCCCAGCCAGCGCTACAATGCCCACCTGGTGCCTGAGGATGGGAGCCTCTCCTGCTTCAAGGCCGGTGTCTGTAAGAGCTGCAGGATTCACTGGAGTTATTGTCCTCTTCCTGACAGAGAAAAAAGCTGGTCATCCCTTGCCAGTCCAGCCTTCTGTGTGCCCACTATTTCCAGCTCACAGGGAGAGGGTTGGGGACCTTATAAGCTCTTAGGTCCCACAGGGTCTATGGGAGTCGGCTTTGGAATCTTAGATCTGAAGAGTTGCCCCTACTTGTGAATACAAGGGCAGAGATTCACTACAGAGAAAGAGCTGGAGTTCTGAGTCTGGGGCTGTGAGCTCAGTCCTGGGAACTCTCCATAGGAGGCTGAGGCAGGAGAGTAAATAGCCATGGGCATACCACTAGTTGCATGGACCACCCTGCTCCAGGAATCCCCAAAAGGTGGCTTCCTCTAGCTGCTTATCCTTTGTTCCCAGATCACCCAGGACAAAGGCAGTTTGGTTAATTTTACCAGAAACAGTACTGCACAGTATATTAGTCAGCATCCCGTTACTACAGTAGAATACCTGAGATAATGAACTTTTAAGGGAACAGATTTATTTTGTTTCACAGTTTTGGAGGTTCCAGTCCATGATCAATGGACCTTGTTGATTTGAGCCTCTGGCAAGGCACTCATCATGGCAGGAGTGTGAAGTAGAACAAAATCGCTCACAAGTCAGGGAGCAAAAGAAGAAAGGAAGAGTCAGGGTCCCACAACCCCTTTGAAGACATGTCCCAATTACCAAAGATGGGGGAGTAGTCACACCCCCTAAAGGTTGCAATAGCTTCCAGTAGCCCTACCCTGGGGATCAAATCTTTAACACATGGGTTTTTAGGGGGCATTCAAAATCTAACTATAGCACCCAGAAACTGCTCACTTTCCACTTCCGTAGTGAGTAGAGCAAGGAAGGAGGGAAGTCAAGGTCAATTTCCTGTGAAGAAGGAGAATTTGTGTTAGTAAAACTTTAACCAATACATTATCTAGTGCAGCCTGAGGAAAGGGAGTATTAGGAAGGTGGTGAATGAGAAGTATGGATGATTCCATGTCCCAAAGTCCATTCTGAACCCTGGCATTGTAGGAAATGCCTTCCATCTGTGAGCTGGAAAAGCTGCTCGTGTAGCTCAGTTAGTGCTTGCCTCCAGAGGAAGTAGGGCTGCTCTTAGGGCTGAGCCATTGGGACAAGGGAGTCCCAGTTCCTCTCCCTTGCTCTCTGTTCACTGGAAAGTCATATCACCTCTCTAAGCCTCTGTTTCCTCATTCATACAATGGATTATGAACTTTCTGTCATTATAACAAAATACCTGAAGCAATTAGTTTATAAAGAGGAAAGATTTACTTTAGCTCATGGTCCTGCAGTTTCCACTGTAAGATCTAGCAACCCCATTACTTTGGATCTCTGATGGATGGCAAATCATGGTGGGAGCACATTGTGAGTGGGCAATGCAAAAAAAAAAAAAGGAAAAAAATGAAGAGAATGGGGTCCTATGATCTCCTTTAAGGGCACCCCCAATGACTTAAGGACATCCACAAAGCTCCACCTCCTAAAGATTCCATCATATCCTAGTAGCACCACCCTGGGAATCAAGCCTTTAACATGTGGACCTTTGTGAGACACTTATCCATAGCAATGAGAATGACAGCACCTTCCTCATGGGTCATTCTGAGGATTCAGGAAGCTGGAAGGGCTGATGTAATGCCTGGTGGCTAAAAGGGGTGACACAGCATGTAGAGGGTCTCATGATTCCTTTATGTACTACAGGCATCATCCAAGGAGGTAGGAGTGAGCAATGGGCTAGGGGCTGGGCAGTGGCTGACCCTCAGGCCCCACCCAAGGCCCTGGACAGCCCATTCCCAGGGCCACCAGCTGTTCGTATGTGCTGGGTTCACTCTGCCTGATGTATCTTTGCAGATGTCCTGCGCTTTGACAACACCTACAGCCTGCTGCATTCCAAGAATATCAGCTATACTGTGGAGGTGCTGCTCCCTGACAAGACATCTGAGAAGAAACTGCAGAGTCTCAATGCAGCGAAACCCTCCCCAGTACATTGAGTACCCTGACTGTCCTGCTCTCTCCAACCCCTTTATACCCTGCTCCTTGCTCCTGCCTTCCCAGGTATTGATGGTCACAGAGAGCCATCTATCCCACATCATCATCTCAGCCCACTGTGGGCCCATTTGCATAGTGGCCAAGCAGTGGGGAGGAAACCAGATGAGCTTCTCATCCCCTGTTCCTAGAGAGTGAGAATAGCATGACCCCGAGTTCACCAAGAAGGTTCCTCCCACAAGGTCTACCCATCCCAGCATTTACCCATGCTTGGTGTCCTAGCTTGGGGCAGGGGGTATATGTGAGCACCAGATTTGTCAGGGAGCACTGCTAAGTGCAGGCTTAAAGAGCAGGGAAGCCCCATTTTCTGCACGCAGGAGGTCAAAAGGAATAGGAAAGGCCGGCTGAGGTAGCTGGGTAGAAGATGGGGCAGGAGTAGGAGGCTCAGGTCCAGCTGAGCAACAGGGCCTCTTTAAGCTTGTTCTCCTGCCTTTTAGGGAAAGACAGAAATGAAGAGGCAGGACCCTGCAGGGGTACCATCAGTGCTGGGGGAAGCCATGCTGAGCCCTTACAAAGTTGGGTAGATAAAGATTGAGTCTCCATTGACCTCTCTTCCCCTCCACACTTGTTGGGGTTTTGCCACATTCAGCTCTGGTTCTTTGTGGATCGAGTAGGGGCCAAGACCAAAGCACAGTTAGAAGCAGGTGTCATGGTGCTGGGATAAAGAGTGTGAGCTGCCACCTCAGGGTGCTCATGCTGGTCTCAGACTTACTTCTTGGAGAACCATTCAACTCTTCCTCCATTTTTGTATCTTATCAAGGGGAGAATAGAAAGTCTGCTGCCAATGTCCCCCCACTTTTGTGATCCAGGAGCTGGCTATAATGGCAATGGTTGCTCTAAGACTGACCCTCCTGGTACCCAGTTAGGACAGCCACCTCCTCTGCAGTGTGGACTGTACCCCACAGAGTAGACCTCGCCCAGGAATGAGTTGAGGAAGCCATCAACTTGAGCTAGTGTATTGGTGGGTTGACTCTGGGTGGCAGTGAGGCCATCACCTGGAGCCTGGGAGCCCAGGTTATGCTGCCCTGCACCCTGGTCTCTGGCTAGGCCATGCCAGGGGCCACCAATATTTCAAAAGACTGTGTCCCACCCAGGTGGGCTTAGTCTCTGGCTCAGAATCACTGATCCTGCCCTCTTGGTCTTTTTGCATTGCTATCCCACTTGGCAAGCATACTGAGTACCCAGCTATATCCCCTGGAGTGAGTGGTCAGATGTTGCTGTAAAAGGGATCTCTGCTGCAAAGCATTAGCATTCTGGTTGCCACAGCCCCTCCCAGAGACCAGAAGGTCTCAGCACATGCCACCCGGCCAGGCACTTTACAAAAAGATGCCAGGCACCAGCCCCTTTTCTTCTCTCAAGATTCTGTGATTTCATTTTCTTCAGTTGATAGGTGCTTTCTGTTACCCAAGATGTATTTTAAGAGACAAAATGATGAGGCTGAGGAAGGCAAGGAGTCTTTAGGAGAGCCCTGTGGGAGTTTCAGCTCCCTATCCCTCCTGGCCCCTGCAACTGGGGCAGCTGTTTTGTTCATGGCTTGGAATCTGAGCAGGAGCTCTGTTGCAATAAAAAAATAAACTAAACTGAACTTCTAAATCCCAGTGCCATGAGGAATTCCTGTCCAACATGATGTTTAAGCAGATTGGCAAGGAAAAAAAAAAGGGGTGTGTGGGCAACTGCAGTTGGGAGGACCCTGTGACAGATATCATAAAGCCCATCTGTTGTCATAATGTGGACTCAGAATTGCTTCAGTTCAGCCTTTAAACCTCCTGCCTAATAACAACATTTCTGGATTTGAACCCTGACCCTTGCCCTTCTAACCATCCAATTTTCCATTACCAGCACAGCCTCATGCAAGTTGCAAATGTTGCTCTGCCCTTGCACAAGGGTTTCCTGATCTCCTATTTACAAAAACCAGACACAAATACAGGCTGCCTGCGGGGTGGGGTGATAAGTAACAAGGAGACGATGTAAGGGCACTATTGGCTCCAGATCCCAGAGCCAGGCACAGTGAGTGTGCTATGTGGTTAAGCAATAAGTACAGCAGTCACCAGCAGATGTGACAGCAGAGTCTCCTACCTGGCAAGATGGGCAGGGGCACATTGAGAGTTCAGCAAGGGATTTGTCCTCAACAACATCATCCTTAACTCTCAACAGTATCACTTTAAAAAAAAAAAAAAAAAAGGAAGTCACTCAGAGCAGGGCACTGGCTCACTTCAAATTTGCTTCTTCATTTATTCATTCATTCTTCAACATCTATTGAGTATATGCCCAGCACTAGGCACCACAAGCTCCGGGGACACCAAGGATGTTGAACTAACCCAACTTTGCTAAAAGGAAACTTGCCTACATTGAAGGAAACAGAAGTGATTCTAATAATAATCAAATATTCATGTGGTCATCATGTGCACTTGTGGGGGGCAGGAGCTGAATTTTCGGGGACCATCCAACAAAGAAACCTGACAGGTGTAAAATGAGCTTTGCCTAAGGAAGCGACCACTGAAGGATGTATGGAGTTTTTGTTTAGGTGCAGGCAAGCCTTTCTAGACTAGGCAATGAGGTGTGGACAGCCACTGGGTTCCTGGGACTGGAGGAAAGGTGGGAGCATTCTTCTGGCTGGGGGTAAAACTGGTAACAACTTCCCAGTGTTTTTTGTTTCTTCAGAATGACTACACACATTAGATAATGATTATTATTATTTTTTTTTTAATTAGCCAGGCACGGTAGTAACACACCCTATAATCCCAGCTACTTGGGAGGCTGAGACAGGAGGAGCACAAATTTGAGGATAGCCTCAGCAACATAGTAAGACCTTGTCTCAAAATTTAAAAAATTAGTCAGGGGCAGTGGTGCATGCCTGTAATCCCAGCAGTTCAGGAGACTGAGGCAGGAGGATTGTGAGTTCAAAGCCAGGCTCAGCAATTTAGTGATCTCCTAAGCAACTCAGTGAGACCTAATCTTCAGATAAAATATTAAAAAGGGCTGGGATGTGGCTTAGTGGTAGAGTACCCCTGGGTTCAATCCCTAGTAAATAAATAATAGATAGATAAATAAACTTAAAACATGTTATAATGCAGGTTACAAAACAGTCTTGGGCTGGGGTTGTGGCTCAGTAGTAGAGCACTCATCTAGCATGTGTGAGGCCCTGGGTTCAATCCTTAGCACCACATAAAAATAAATAAAAATAAAGGTATTATGTCTAACTACAACTAAAAAATAAACATTAAAAAAAAAAAACAGTCTTGCTATTTGTCAGGAAAAATGGCAAAATTTTAGCAGGAGGCCACCCATTTAAACTCCTGCTCAAGATGAGGTGTTGGAAACACTGAGGCCTCACTTATCCAGGAAAGGGAGACAAGACTTACTCTTCCCAGCTCAACTCCTCACAATCTTTGGAGGAAAGCAGGTAGGGGATTTTAGGGGTGTCTTATGGCAATTGGAAAGTCTCCTCTCCAGTGTCCTTCAAATCTTCACCCCAGCCCAGCTCACCTTCCAAGGAACCCATGCCAGAGGGGACAGCACTGTGGAACATCTGTCGCCACAAGTGTCCAGGGCAGGTCTTCGGCAGTGCTCCATGGCACTGCACTTCAGTTTGCACAACCCTTTATATGCAACCTCAAAGGAGACCAGGATTATAACTCCATTTTACAGGCCAGAAAACTGAGGCTTTTAGCCAGGAGGACTGCCTTGGCCAAAGGCTTGGTGTCCAATGGCAGAATTGGAGAAGGGACCCAGATCAGCTGCCAGTCCCCTGCTCTGCTTCTTGAGAGGAGAGGATTGCTGTGGGCATGTGAGCCCTGCTAATTAGAAGGTTTAGCTTGGGATGGGGACACAAGATAGGACAAAGTGACGTGTGGGGTCTCTGGGGTAGGAGGGAAGGCTCAGAGTTTAGAGAAGCCTCCAAGAAATTTGTGCCTCTCAGTGGGTTGTGACAGTGCAGGCTTACCTCCTTATCACCTACTGTGTGCCATAGCTGAGCTGAGGCACAAAGCATCATCTCCAGCTTATTGATGAGGAGAGTGAAACTCAGGGCAGGAAGTGAACTGTCCTGTTGCACAATGTAAAGAGGAGGAGGTAAGGTGTGAACAGTGGGAGGGGGAAGGGGATAGGCTTGGTGGCTTTAGAGAGAAAGCAGCTGGGCCAGCTCGGGAGCTCACATGGCCATGGTGACCCCTGCCTTCAGCCACCAGAGGCAGTGTTGCTCTGAGAGCATGAAGAGGGCTCTCTTGCCTCCAAACAGCTCCTGGAATGGCTGCTTCACAGGCATGCTAAGGCCTGAGAGGCCAAGTTCACCAGGTCTGGGGTGTTTGAGTCCTCCTGGAGTGACAGAAAGTGGCTCTGCCACTGCTGGCTGGACTTCATCTTCTTTCCTATGCCTTATCAAGCCTCCATCAACTCTGGATTAGATCATTAGAAGGAATCCATGGGCCTCCTCGTGCCCATTCCTATCCCCTTCCATCCTGACTCCACAGGGCAGCCATAAAAATATTTCTGAAATGGAAGTCTGATCACATCTCTCCCTGTGTAAGCCTTTCACTGGCTCTTAGTTCCCCCTGGATCAAATCAGACTTGTTGGTGTCTTACAAGAGCCTCAGTGATCTGGCACCACACCCCTGTTCCAGTTGCACCTAACAACCTGAATTTACCAATTCTTCAAGCTCCTTTCTTCTTCCCAACGAAGTTGGGGACTCCCTCCTCAGCTTCGTTCTGTGTACCCTCAAGACCACTGGAGCCCTCTTCTGGAAGGTCTTCCATAGGCCCCACCTCCACTTAGGCCTAGCAGAATTAGGGACCCTCCTCCATACTCATGGAGGACCAGTTCTTGTCACATAATGGAGCCATCATCTGCCTTATGTTTGTCTCCTATTTGCCCCTAGAGCTAACCCAACCTGCACTCCCCAGATGCTCCGTAAATCCTGGAGAAAAAAAAATAATAAAATAGATGCAATTTATTGAGCACCTGCATAGTCCTGCTGCCCTATGTACTAGTCATCCTCCATTTTTACAGGGAAACAAAGTGCGTCTTAGAGACAGCATCATTGCTCAGTGGTGGCACTAGGACTGGAATTTGGAATATCTGACTCCACAGCTATGTGTCTCTTTGTTAGTCAGTTTTCCATCACCATAATGAAATTCCTGAGGCCACTGATTTATAAAGAGGAAAGGGTTATTTGTGTTTCCAATGTTGGAGGTTCCAGTCCAAAATTAGGTGACCCCATTTTTTTAGGCCTTTGGTGAAAATAGCACACCAGGAGTGCATGGCAGAGCAAAATAACTTATGTAATGAGCCAGGAAACAGAGGAGGAAGAGACTGGAGTCTGTAGGGCAAGCTCCAAATGGCTATAGTTAGGTTCCCTCACAGAGGCTTCTGGTGAGCTATGTTTTCAGTGTGTAGACAAGGTCATAAACACTTTGATTCAGCATAGGTACTTAAGGTCCTAAACATTAGCTTGTGAGCATGCACTCTTATGTAACCTGTTGGCAATGTGCCTTCCTTATTTGGTCTGCATATTAAAAAGCCTATGGGGACTTTATTAAAAAGATTAATGTATACTAAACATATTAAAAAGACTGGGGGACTGAGGTCTTACCACCTCTGAATAAAGCATGTCTACTATCCCAACTGCACTTCACATCTTCTTTCACCTGCCAGGATCCTGAATCTGTTTCCCAGGGTCTGAGCCTCAGTCCCACACAGTTGCACATCTTCTGCCAGGGAAAACCTCCAGTGACCTAAGGACCTCACACTAGGACCAACCTCCTAAAGCTTTTACCACCTTCCTAGAGTGCCACTCTGGGGTTCAGGTCTTTAATACACAAGCATTTGGGGGACACTCACCCAAACCATAGCAACCTTCCTGACCTCCAGTCCTTCAGCCTTGAAGAGATACTCGAGGACAGCGGGAGCAAGGCAGAAACATATCAGGAAAGAAGGAAGCAGAAATAATGGACTTGCCTAACTGTGTCCTTGTCCTGAGTTGATGGCAGGCTGGGTGACTGAATCAATAATAACATGAAAAACCAACATTGTTGATAGATCATTAGAAGGAGTCCATGGGCCTCCTCATGCCCATTTCTATAGCTTTACCACATACCAGGTGGTGAATGAGGCAAATTACTACCCTCTTCTCCATTGGCCATCTTGATTACCCCATAGGAAAAGGATATTATCAGCCCCAACTTACAAGTCAGAAAACTGAGACTCAAGATCACATAACACATTGAAGGCAAAGCTAATATTCAAATCCAGACCCATACATTTCATATGGTATTTAAGCACCTTCCATTTTGAACTATTTGGATATTATTTGCTTGGTGATGGGAGAGTGATTACCACTAATTGAGCTGTTTTTATGTGGTCATCTCCAGACCCAGTTCCCCTCCCCAGTAGTCCTGAGTACTCCAGTCTCCCCAAAGATGGTGATGGAAGTAGACAAAAGATTGATATGAAAAACTTAGGACACTCCTTGTCCTCAGTGTGCCCCCAGGCACTATGGGAAGGGTTGTGCCAATCCTGGACAGGGTATATGTTAAGAACTCTTTCACTTTGTGGCATCTTTTGTTACTCTTCTCTATGCTTATAATCATAGAAACCC